CGTATCTAGTTGGAGACATTACCCTTAAAAATTGAAAAAATTCCCTCGTTCCCCGAAAATGGGGGAAATATCCAAAAAATTACAAATTTAAAAATCGGTAAATTTTGTCATTTTTTCACTTTTTTTTCTTAAAACTTCCATAACTTTTTGAAAAATAAACAAATCAACATAATTTTTTTTTTTACTAAAACCTTAGATATTTTCTTTTCATTTGATATCATTTTTTTGAAAATCTAATACTTAACCTGTACATGGAGGGGGATTTAAAATAGCAACTCTTTTACAAAAACTAACTTTTTCAACTTAATTTTTGAAAATGTTCCGGAAATACTGAGTCCTTTAAACATATATCAAATAAAGCTTATTTTATGTACTATAAAATAAAAAAAAAAAATATTTCCCGACGACCTATCTTCTATGCGCAAATGGCTACCGTATTCAAAAATATGCTATTTTAACAAATTTTTTTTTTTTAAATTAAACACTATCTATAGATTTGCATCGAAGCGTTTTTTATGATAGTGATTTTAATCACTGTCAGATATCATCTATACTGGACCCAACTATGCCTCGACCCCACTGTGCTGGATTTTTTTTATATTATAACAATTATAATTCAAATCTCTAAGAAAAATATAATTTATAATGCATTGTCATGTGTGGTCTTAATTGATTTTTATAAATATTTTAGAAACATCTTCATCACGTTTTAAAAATAAATAAATCTTATTCCTTTTATTAATTATTTTGATAATTAAAAAATAAAACACCTATGGATTTAAGACATTTTAGAAAAAATTAATTTATCTTTCCTAAACTTTCAATTGTAAAAGGCTAATGTTAAATTACACTAAAAAGAGGTATTTATCAAATTATTATCATTTGTAATTCTATTTTCTAAATAAAATTTTTAAGTTAAACTTTGTTAAGTCATTTAATAGCTTCAACATACTTTAATTATTATTATTTTTTTTTTTTTGAGAAGTTAATTTTTTTGTTTGAATTTTTTTTCTAGATCAAATATCAAAAATTGATGAAATAATCAAAGAAATAGTTAATAGTGTTCTAGAAAGTGATTTTCAATGTCCAATTTGTAATGAATTAATGGTTAAGGTATTATTTTTTCATTTAAATCCATTAATAGTGTAAATATAACACGTCATCATGTTAAAAGTTCTTAGCAAATTTATTATGTTACTTTGGTTAAAAAATACATTAGGGAATACTTTTTAATCAATTTTAATATTGCTAAATAATATAAAGTGATAGTAGAGATCTGAAAACTTTTTGAACTTTCTAATTCTAGAATTGTAAATAAAATTTCTGAAAAGTAAAGCTAAAATATTTTAATTAAAAAAATAATTTCTGATGAAAATTTTTTTTTATT